GGAAAACCACAAACTGTGCTTATTCCCCTCCGAGAAGTGAAACTGGCGTCTGCTCTGTTCCCACTTCCATTCATTCAGACTCGGCACAGCCGCCGCCCGCCCGCGCCTCATTCAGCGAGAGCTTCAAAGCAACAGCACAGCACGCAGGTGGGTGGGGCCCCTCGCCGAGCCGCACAGAGGCCGGGCGACAGTCACGCTTCTGGAGTCCAACTGCGATTTCCAGCATGGGATCCTCAGATCAATTCGCTGCTAGCAAACCCCCAGGAGACAGGTTGGGGCCGCCAGGGGTGGCCGCTACTGGGACGCAAAGGTCCAGTCAGCTCCAGGTGGACTTGCAGACGTCCCACGAAATTTGAAGCCAACCGGCAACTTCGCAGCGTTTCTCCCCGAAAGGGAGGATCGGGCGCCTACGTTAAGGGCGGCGTCTTCCTGCTCCGGGAAGGGGGAACATGCATCTTACTCCTGCTTGCTGAGCCCGCAGCAGGAGGGCAGCTGTCACAGACGAGGAAGTACCGAAGACCCCGCCACCGAAAGCACGCTTGTGAAGTCGGTATTGCATGCATCTGCTTTAACGCTCTTCCATCTTTTTTTGTTTAAAACTTCATGCTTCCCTAACATGGATTAGTGTCAGCTCGAGTGCAGCTGTCTATTTTTCTAACCCTTTGCTTTTTTTTTTTTTCAGCGTCGTCCAACCTGAATTGGGCATTGCCGCCGAGGGAAACTCGCAAATAGAACAGGGCTGCCCAAAGCCCTTAAAAAGCATAAAAGTAAGACGCAAAGGTGGTGAGAAAACACACCTGTTCAGCTTTAAAGAACATTCAGCTTCACCAACACCTGGAACCCAGACCCTGCGGACTGGAACCCAGACCCTGCCTGTCTAAATGCAGCTCCTCAGCATGTACACAGAAGAGTAAGTCACATTCAAAGCAGAAAGAAAGAAAGGTAAACCGCCCTGACAATCACAATGGAATGCAGATCAATCAAATAAGAGGAAAGGACACTGCGCACTATTTTGCATTTAGACAGCCCAAGATCTTGACACCCAAGACCATCCTCCTTCTAGCTCAAACGGAGCTAGTCTAATGGATTCAGTCTGGAGCCCACACTGCCCGATCAGTGATGTGCAGTGACTATATTTTGTGGGGAACGTAGACAGCTCTGACCCCATCTATGCGTCTAACAATTAGGAGAGAGGTCCCTGGGAATTCTGAGCCCAGGGAGAGAGGGAACACACGGAAGATGCTGTCCAAAACCTTGAAGAAAACAACTGCTTTCTTTGGTAACATTTGTTTTTTAAAATCTCTTGTCCGTGGAAGAGCAAAAAAAAAATAAAACCAACCCAAAAAGAGGGCCATTGTCAATCCCTGCACTTTCTCTGGCTCCAGAAGGCTTGAGCCACTTGTCACACCCTTCAGAGATGAGATCTATGAGAAGACGCCCAGCAAGGCAGCTGAAGGCTTTTTCATTGGCACAGCTCAGCCCTGAAACCGATTCCTGAATTGGAAAGACTACACTGGTGGCTGCCTCCATCTGTTGGCGTGCACGAAGCACAGGCGCAAAAGTCTGGTCAATGCCAAACTGATGCATCGGACTTAAAGCTATAGAGAATGAGAAAGAAAGAAAGAAGCACCAGGTACCATCAAGAGCGGACTCAGCAGACAACCACATGAAACATCACGGGTATAAACAGAGGTGGGGGGCGATGCAGCAGTCTGGGCCAATACCAGACTCGGGTCCAAATGAGCTTGCCAATGCCCAACGAACAGCTTTAGTTGCTCTCACCCCTATTAATCAAGAGGAAAGCCAGCTGCCACCTACTGAGCTCAAATGCACCTGTCTGCACCTGTACGGAGCAATAGCACTGTGGCTAAGGATCTGCCTGCGGCTGGAAGGTTGTGTGAATATCAAATTAAAAAATGAACCACAAACTCAAAAACATCCCCCATGCAAACACACGCGGTCCTAGACCCGGATCATCTCCAGCTGGGGCGCCCCTGTGTGGAGGGGCAGGGGAACTGCACTCACCCATCCTCCCTGACTCTGGATCCAGGGCTGAATGTTGTTGTCCAGGTAGACGGTCATCCACTCGGCTATGCGGCTCACCAGGTTGCTCATCTCCTTCTCCACGCACTCCACGCACAGCGCACCCCCGAAAGCGAAGAGCCCCACGATGCGCCCCCAGTTCACCCCGTCCCGGAAGACCTCGTCCATGACGTGCTCGAAGCTCTGGTAGGCGGTGGCGGGCGTGATGTGGAGCTGGGAGGACAGGTCGCTGAACGCCCGGCCGTAGCGGAGCTCAAACTCGTTGGCGGAGTCGCGCAGCGCCCCCTGCACCGCCTCGATCCCCTGGGGGGGCTGGCGCGACACGGGCCCCCCCCCGCCATTGGCCGCGCCGTTCGTACGCTCCTCTGCGTTCGGGCTCCCCGAACCCACCGCCTCAGCGCCTCCGGTCCTGCCCTCCAGGCTGAACTGGTCCCAGGAGTAGTTCTTCTGCGAGAGTTTATAGTTGATGTAGTAGACGACGAGGTCTCTGTTGCTGTATGACATCTTGTCTGCTCGTCTCTGCCTGCTTCACGCCGCAAAACCCATTCTGGACACAAGGGATTACCAAGTTCCCTTGCCTGGACGCTGCAGTCTCTTTGCTGCCGGCTGACGGTCTGGCCTTTCGGAATGAGAAAAAAAAAAAGGCATTCGGAAATCCGTCAGGACCGGTCACAAGGAGCATGTGGCACAGATGAAGCACATTTTCCGTTCATCACGGCATGGAAAAGCAAAAAGGCCGATCATCTCAAATTCATGCACTACCTCGTTCGAAACACAGCCACCAGGAAGCATTAAAAACAACTTGGCAACCAGAGTCTGTTTTTTTTTCCAAGCTCCAATATGGGGGCTCATTATAAGCTACAGGGTTGGTGTAGGGATCACACTAATTAAAGAATGAAAACAATCTGATGTCTGTTACTGTCTGACAGCGTTCATTAATTGTCCAGGACATGGCAGGAGAGTGTCTGACTGCTCTACACCACATCCTGTCACAGCGCTACTGCTCATCTTCTCTGTGGCACCAAAACCCTTCAGAAATTAAACTGACAGGAATTCAATGAACTGCCCTGCAGGGAGAGATGACCACTGACACGGACAGACAGACAGGCAGACAGGCAGGGGTTTCTCGAGTGACCCCCGCAAAGACCAACTCAAGAGACCATATTGAGGCACAAATCAAGACGTGCCCCCCCCCACACCACCGCCACCACACTCAGGGGCAGGCTGGGGAGGAGGGGTCAGAGGTCAGTGATGACCTCTCCAGTTACCTGACTCCTTGATTCCCCGATGCCAGCAAAGAGCTGCCAATGCCCCTGTCCAGAGCTGCTCAAGATGCTCAGATAAAGTACAAGTATTTCTGCTGCCTTGAACCACAGGGAACTGAGACATCACAAATTAAACCCCCAGCCAGGGAAACCTCTACAAACTAGGGTGTCTTCTTTCCCATTTCTAGTGTCTACTGTTTCTGTACACACGGACACACAAAAATAAACCTATTCACAGGCTGAACAATGTGAATAACACAAACATATGATATAATCACGCAGTTTGCCATTACCTAGTAATCTTACACACATAACATTCCCTCCATAACAAACAACACAGCCATTTATGTTTCTAAACAGGAATAAACGTTTTTCCGACGCATATAAATGTTCCTCGGTGTGACAAACACACATTAAGACTGAAATGATGATCAAAGCTGTTATTATTCTCCATGGCGCCTGACCTCATCCAGGTTATCAGAGGCGGCTAGCGAAAGGTCGGAGTATCTAATACCTAACCTTTCCTATGTTAATCCTGGCATTTGGACTGGTATTTTACCGGCTACGATAACGACAACTTCCTCCACGACAGCTCATTTAAAAGCCCGATGTGAAGGGCCACGGCTCCCGAGACAGATTTACATAGAAATGCGCTATCACGGCCAGACGATCTTTGCCGGATTCCCCGGCCACATACAGTAGGTGTGACTGTGATTTGTGCGGTACCGTCTGCAGATAAATGAGACAAAAGACAGGCTCGACATTTCAGACAGGAGAAGGCTGACATTTAGGGATCCTAGGGTTCGCCTTCCGGTCTCCCCTGCGAGCTGCTCTTCCTACCGGAGCGAAACACCGACAAGCAGCCTACTCCCCCCCACACACACACAATCGGAAGCAATCGCTAACTATTTTATTTACTCAAACACGCCCTGAAAAGGATCAACACCAGTGTCGGGGCTCACAGCGCACGCCGCAGCCAGACAAGAACGCCGTTTGCTTTCTGAAAACCTGCTGGAGAGCACTTTTTTTGGGGGCTCATCGGGAAAAATAAAAATCCAAGCAGAAAATAAAACCAGCACGCATCTCGCAATCCACTGCCGAACTACGGATGCTCCTCGGCGTCGGCGTTTCAATGCCTCGCAAATGGAGCAAGCGAAACATTCTCCATCAAGCCCAGCCCAAGGCTACGACGGACCTGAAAAGGTTCGGGGTGACACTCACCTCGGCAAATGAAAGTCCTGCTCGGTAGCAGCCCTGCGTTGTTTGCCTTGGTGGCAATACCGCTGGCTCGTCCCTATCCAGTCAACTGAGCTGGGCTTCCTGAGTCACTGCACGCTGTCAAACCCTGCAACACAGGAGCAAAGCAGAACCTATTAGCCAATGCACGGCGCACACGGCCCCGCCCCCTCGCCGATGAAAGGGGGCGGGGGCAATTACGTCCTTCCTACCGTAATTGCACAGTTAGAGGCGCACACCCGCACGCATGAGGCACAATTACGTCAATAAAACTATACATCTTTGTAAATCGATACGACACATTGCTCAAAGCAAAAAAAAAAACCGCGACGGTTACGAGTGCATATGAACTGTACATAACATAGTACATAGTTTAGTTTCCAACAATTAAACGACTGCACTGGCCTATTTTTAAGGCGGACCAACCCAGGTGAGTAATCCATTTTAGGAGAC